TGGATAAATATTATATGATTCCAATTACATGAGGTACCTAAGTGAGAAAATTCACAGAGACAGAATATAAATTAGAGGTTACCAGTAGGTAGCAGGAGGGGCAATGGGAAATTATTATTTAATGTTTATAGAGTTTCCATTTGGGTGATGAAAAAAATTTGTGAATGGATGGTTGATGTTACAGTGGTGATGGTGGCACAACACATAATTAATGTCATTGAATTAGGCACTTTAAAATGTTAAAATGTCAGGCCGGGCGCTGTGGCTCACGCCTGTAATCCTAGCTCTTGGGAGGCCGAGGCGGGCGGATTGCTCAAGGTCAGGAGTTCAAAACCAGCCTGAGCAAGAGCGAGACCCCGTCTCTACTATAAATAGAAAGAAATTAATTGGCCAACTGATATATATATAAAAAATTAGCCGGGCATGGTGGCGCATGCCTGTAGTCCCAGCTACTCGGGAGGCTGAGGCAGGAGGATCGCTTGAGCCCAGGAGTTTGAGGTTGCTGTGAGCTAGGCTGACGCCACGGCACTCACTCTAGCCTGGACAACAAAGTGAGACTCTGTCTCAAAAAAAAAAAATGTTAAAATGTCAAATGTTATATGTACTTTAGCTCAATTAAAAAATAATAATGTGATAGATATATCAACAAGCTACTGAATTATACTCTTTAAATATGGAAATTGTATGGTATGTGAATTATATATAATAAAGCTATTTAGAAAATAATAACAATTCACATGAGATATGTAAAGACAAATAAACATAGAATAAGATACTTTCTAGAAACCAATGACAGGCAAATTAAAACAAGAAGTCATTTTATTTTAAACAAACTGGTCAAGAATTTTAAAATTTATAGCACTCAATATTGATAAGGATTGCATAAAATGAGTGCTTTCATGAATTGCTACAAGGCGTATAATTTAGTGCAATGGTCTGTAAAGTAAGTACAAAGGTATGAAGGTCCTCAAAATGTTTGTACCATTTAATCTGATAATATCTACTTTAGCATATTATCTCAATATGCAAAAACATACAAAAAGTTTATGTACAAATCACATCACAATATTATTTATAGTAGCAAAATCACTGGAAGCAACTTAATATGTCCTACAAGGGAATCATTAAATAAATCATGCTCCCTCCATTAAAAAGCCTAACACACAACCATTTGAAAAATATTACTATCATTTTAAATTTTGTAAAATAATACTTAATGACATAAGGAAATGCTTAAAGTAGAATATTAAGTAAACACGTCAGATGTGAAACTTTGTGTAGAGTATGATCCCAACTTTGTGAGATAAATGCATAAGAAAGGCAAATACTCTAATACTCTAAACTATCAAGAATCATAACCTCTGGATAGTGTGATTATTAATTATCATTAGTCGTATTCCCTATTCTTTTGAATGTACTCTGTATTTTCTCTCATAATCTTCTACTACTTTTACAATTATGAAAGTATTGTCCTGAGGGGAAATGAAGATATTTGATTAAGTATCCAAGTTACAGGTGTTGTTCATATAATGACTTCGCATTTTGGAGGAAACAAGAATAAGAATTATTGATATTCATATGACTTAGAGATAGCTGATTCCCTAAATTGCTTGGAATAATGACAGAAAGAAAATTCCCAAAAATTAGGCAAAAGAATTGTTCCTTCCTAGAATATGTACTCTATTTTGATCCTTGAGGATTTTTTCTTGGCTATATCCTACAATAAATGTTTTTGAGTACTTTTGTTCCTGGATTTTTCATTTATTTTACAACAGACTTTAAAGGCTTTATTTCAAGGTTTTTACTGTTAAATTATGCTTTCAATAAGCAGCTCTATTAGGGTTCTCCAGAAAAACAGAACCAACAGGAGTACACACACTCACACCCACACACCCACACATCCACATACCCACACACAGTCTCAAGAAGGGTCAGCCTTTTATTTTCTACCCAGGCCTTCAACTGATTGGATGAAGCCCACTCAAACTATGAAAGGCAGTCTGTTTTATTCAGTCTATCAATCCAAATGTTAATCTGATCCCAAAACACCTTTACAGATACCCAAAATAATGTCTGACCATATATGTAGGCACTCTGTGGCCCAGTCCAATTGAGACATAAAATTAATCATCCCAATCACAGATCATCATTTCAGAAAGGAAAAAGAAGTATAGAATAAATTAAAAGGTTTAATCTTTATGAAACAATTTGTTTTAAAACTAGTTAAATATGGGTTTTTTTCTCTATGATGATAAGTATTCTAAATTTTGTCTTTTTATTGTTTTTGGAAGCATGAAATTTAATTTCTCATCAAGGCCAAAAGTCTGAATCTTCTTCCACTTAGGATTGTGCTTTTTTAAAATGGGAAGCTCTTGCCAACAATTTTCTGTTTGTTTCCATCCCCTCTAACTCAATCACAGTCACTAAGCAACAGGGACAACAAATTAAAAGGGGAAGAAAAGGAGAAACTGGGGAGGAGAAAGATACAGGAATTAGGCCATAAACATAAAGAGGACAAATTTGGGAGCACAGAATTCATCTTTTCTACTAGTGATTCCATTTGTTGCCAGAAAATTTACTCTGTGTATTTCCAAAATGTTTTGCCAAGTTTGTCTTACAAATACCCAGCAGGTCATTCTAAAGGGAAGAGCACGTTAAAATAAACAAATCCCCTACTTTTTCAAAGGGAAAAAAGCAAAACACAAGGGAAAAATGGAAGCCTATGTTTCAATCACACTTTAGTTACATCTTCTTTTGAATTGCAGTCGTGGAGCTGTGTCCTTATCTGTGGATTAGAACAATCCTTCCACAGGCAACTGCTGTGATGTCTGGCTACGGGACTATGCAGAATAACCTCCTGTGTAGAGACTGAAGTTTTACCTCAGTCTGAATTGACTTAAATTAACTTATGTTGGAAATTGGGGACATGGAACTCCCAACCATACTGGCAAAGTAAATGATTGTTTCTCTTTCATTCTCCTCATCCATTCTCATATTTATCAATGCTCTCACCAATTATCTATATAATTGACTCAGTACTCTTCTCCCTTTTATTCAACATGCTGTACAGTCTTAAGTATAGATACTTACTTCCTGTTTTATAATTACCCAGCCCAATAAAGTCTGAGACATTCAAGTAATCTATAAAGCTAAAGTGAAAACAAGTGTCCTCCAGTGATGATGGTACAGTAGAGTCATGAAAATATAGTGTTGATAGAAAAATAGATGAAGATCAAAAAAGATATAACATCAAATAGAAGATAAAATATATTCACGCACCAGAAACAGAACTGAAATGCAATGAAGTGAGCAAAGCTGAAGGCAAAGGACTTCAAAGCTCCAAGCCTGAAAGCAAGCATTGGTTTCCAGGAGTCAGGCCACGGAGGATTAAGAAACTAAAATTGCTCCACTCATTATAAAGGACATAAAAATGAGAAATATAAAATATTTAGAACTTACCAGTGGAAGTACTACTATTTTTCAAAACTGAGGGATGCAGCTAAAATGTTATTTGGGGCATATTCACAGCAGTAAATGCATGTATTAAAATCAAGAAAGGTGTCAAAACAAAAGAAGCTGTAAAAGTAAGACAATAAATGTATAGAAAATTGAAGAAAGGTAAAAGGTAACAGAATAATGTAATACAATAGAATACAAATAATATAGAGAATTTACAAAACCATAGTCTGGCTCTTTTAAAAAAAGATTCTGATAAGAGTATTTAACAAGACTAATCAAGAAGGACACAAGTAATACATAAACAATATTAGAAACCTAAGAGGGAATATAGCTATAGATAAAAATAGAGACTTAAACAATAATAAAATATTATGAACAATACCATACCAATAAATTTGAAACCTTCAATGAAATGAATAATTGTCTAGAAAATATAAATTGCCAAAATTGACTGATAAACATTAGAAACCATGAAGAAATCAATAACCTTTAAATAAATTAAATTAGTAATAAAAAAATTTTCTACTCAAAAAAATGATACTAGTCCCTGGTGATTTTAACTGGTGTCTTTTATCAAAAATTCAAGGAAACAAGAATTGCTATTTTATGTGAAATGTTCAGAAAACAGAGAAGACAAATAACTCTAAGCTACACTTGTTGATAATGTTATGAATCAGTGGTAACACTCACACTCTACTTACAGGAATGCCAATAATTGTATGTACCTTATTTGGACAGCAAATTGGCAATCTCTAGTAAATTTGAAGATGGACATACCCTTTGATCCAATAATACCAGTCCTAGGTATAGAACTAGAGAAATTCTCACATATTTGTATAAGAATATTTCTACAATATTTTTTTTCCTTTTCTTATAAAGCTGTTAGTAGTACCTAAAAACCAGAAAGACTCTAAAAGTGTATCAAAAAGAGGACAGGCAAACTGTGTAATATTTAAACAATGGAATAGTTTATAGCAATTAAAATACAAAAAGTAGAGCTACTTGTGTCAATATGAATTTAAGCTCAAAAACATAAGTTTGAGAAAAAAATCTGATTGTGAAATGGTACAATTGGACTAATACTATTTATATGCAATTTATATAGAATTTCAAAACATGCAAATCAATCTTATAAATTGGTATAGATACATGCATATGTAGAAAATGTATGAAAATCTATCAAATGAAAGATGTTGATTGCCTCATGGGAATAAGTGAAGGTAATAGGAACAGGAATAGTATCTCTAATATTTCATTTATATTAAAAAATAACTGAATCTAATATTGAAAAATGACAAAGATTAGTAGTAAGCAAAAAGACATCTGTTTAGTTATATATTCCTCTCTAGCAACTTGACACATCTCAGAATGTTTTTTTAAAAAAGTAAACACACTGATTGATATGAACTTTACATGGATCAAAGCACAGTACCTGGCACATTGGTGTACTTGATATATTTGATGATTGAATACATAAAGAAACGAACTAACTAATCTGTAAAACACAGCCATATAAATCGAACTTCTTCCTCTTGTCTTACCTTTAGCATCCAAGGGCCTAAACTTTATGTCTTCTCAATGCCAGCTTGAATAAACAATATCATTAGGAGAAATTTTAATGCAAGAAATCTGGGAACAAAAGTGAGAAAGAAAAATAAATCCTTTGCTTTCTATGTTGAGTAACAAGTTATCTCTACCATATTTCCCTTCCTTTACATTAGGGATTTTCTTTTCTTACAAATTTCGTTCTGTGTTTTTCTGTGGTTCTTCTGATTCTGACTCATTAAACACAAGTATTAATGTCTGGAACATATTCTAAACTTTTCTCCACAAGTGTGGGAACAAAATGGGATGGTCTTTATTGAAGGACATTAATGTATCCTACGAAATAAGATGAACTCGTACAATGAACTTCTCTCTTGTCAATATATTTTGTCAACTTATTTTTTACTGCACGGCTAAAGAGTTGCAAGTTAGAGGAAGATATAGGTATTATCATATTTCAATGCTGATTTATTTCTGAAGGTGATAAAAAAGAGCAGAAGACTTCAAAATGGCTGCTATACTTCTGTAAATTAATTGAAAATATTTTTTCTAAAGAGGTTGAAAAACAATACCTTATAATAAATGTTATTGCCTGGCAAAGGTATCCTTAAAAATAGATTAAAGATATTCAGAAAGAAAGGGGAATTTAGGCTGGGCACGCGGTGGCGGAAGCCTGTAATCCTAGCACTCTGGGAGGCCGAGGCGGGTGGATTGCTCAAGGTCAGGAGTTTGAAACCAGCCTGAGCAAGAGTGAGACCCCCGTCTCTACTATAAATAGAAAGAAATTAATTGGCCAACTAACATATATAGAGAGAAAAAATTAGCCGCATGTGGCACATCCTGTAGTCCAGCTACTCAGGAGGCTGAGGCAGAAGGATCGCTTGAGGCCAGGAGTTTGAGGTTGCTGTGAGCTAGGCTGAAGCCACGGCATTCCAGCCAGAGCAACAGAGTAAGACTCTGTCTCAAAAAAAAAGAAAGAAAAGGAAAAAAGAAAAGAAAGAAAAGAAGAAAAGAAAGGAAAAAAGAAAGAAAAGAAGAAAGAAGAAGAAAGAGGAATTTAAGGAGTCCAAATCTCTTATTTTCTGAAGATAATATGGGGCCTAGTGAGGGAAAGTGACTTGCCTAAGATCATCCATCTATTACTAATTAGTGGAAAAGCTAATTTCCACTAATTAGTAATAGAGTTAGCCTCTTGATCATTGGTTTAGTGTACTTTTCAAAAACATCTTATTCATATGACCATTTATTACTATTAATATTTGAAAATTCAATTGGAGGGGAGGACAGGGAGAGGTTGGTTAATGGATACAAAATTATAGCTACATAGGAGGAATAAGTTCTAGTGTTCTATTGCTGTGGTCCCCAACCTCCAGACCACAGCTGGTCAGTCCTGGTCTGTGGCCTGTTAGGAAAACAGGGCCATGCATCACAGCCTGAGCTCCACCTCCCCCCTCCCCTAACTTTCCCTACCCCCCTACCCTTGTCTCTCCTCCCCCACTCCAGTGGAAAAATTTCTTCCATGAAACCTGTCCCTGGTGCCACAAAGGTTGTGGACAACTGTTCTATAGCACTTTAAGGTGGATATAGTAAAAATAATTTATCCTATATGTTCAAAACACTAGAAGAGAGGATTTTGAATATTCCCAACACAAAGAAAGGACAAATGTTTGAGGTGATGGATATCCTAATTACCTTAATTTGATCATTGCACATTGTATACATATAGCACTCTGTACCCCATGAATATATGCAAATTTTTTGCATCAACTAAAAATAAAAGAAAAAAAAGATGAAAGCAGAAAAACAAAAGAAGAAAATTCAATGAATGAAGAGGGAAGCCAGCAAGTAGAAAGTAGAGCACTGTATTTCATGTTTAGCTTCAACATGATCTAGGATTCAATTCAGTTCACGCAACTCACAGAATAGAGTTTGAGCATCAGTTTAAAATAACATAACCAGTTAGCTGACAGAATAGGAGAAACAAACCTGGGCAGTTTTACAGGCATTTCATTAGAGAAAAAGTTCATTGAGACTACAAGGCAGAGTAGCAATTTTGGCTCATTTCATACCTTTAGAAATATAGTCCATGGTTCATTTTGTTATTTGCTTATAATTTTCTTATTGTAGCAAATCTATTTTAAGAATGTAAAGAACCTTTTACTCTTCTCAAGCCTGAAACACATACACACGCATGCACACACACAGGGAATTTTCATATCAGTTGTATGACCTTATGCTGGTCATGATGAAGAAGATATATCTAAATTATCATACTACTAGAAAGCTGTGCTTTACCAGCTTTTGTTTAATGGAGTAAGTATATTATCATGCAAGGGAATAATTATTATACCCAAAATAGGTGAGAGAAATGAATGTGAATCTTCACAGCAATGGTATTTACCTATGATAAAATTGAGAGAGGAAAAGTAATGGTCACCCCTTCACATCAGTGCATCAGAGCCTGGGTTGCTTTGTCTGATGCTGAGATGAAATGAGCCACCCATTCATGCAGGTATATTATACAGGAAATTCCCATTAGGAAACAGGAAGTAAGGCTCAGTGATCAAAACAATAGCTACCTGCAGCCTATGGGGTCCATCCAGTTCCACACATCTGTAGAGATCCAAGAGTTCCCCCCCTCAAAAAAGATTCTCTAGAAAATGAGAAAGTTCTACAGATTTTTAAACAGAATATAAATGTGAGTATTTAAGACTATTTTTGGCAAATTCTTCATGTAACATGCTCATTTACCATGCACAGATCTTTGACCAAAGGAATGCACTGCCTGGTGTACCCTCAGAGTGACATCAATCTAGGAAGCCAAGAGTCTTAACTGACTTTAAACTATGCCTAGTTGGGCTGGTCTGCCTGTATATAGGCACTCTAGGGCCAAGGCAGGAGGATCGTTTGAGTTCAGGAGTTCGAGACGCAGTCTGAGCAGAGACACGACGCGCTGTCTCTACTAAATAGCGAAGAATTGCTGCACACTATAATAGACCAAGAATTGCGCGCATGGTGGTGCATGCTGTAGTCACTAGCTCTCAGGAGCTGAGGTGGACAAGATCAATTGAGCCCAGAATCTGAGGTGCTGTGAGTAGAGCACAGCATCTACGCTCAGCAACAGAGTGAGACTCTGTCTCAAAAGAAATATTGTACAATCACAAGGCCAAAGGATATTCATTGCTGTATAAGAGGATTGCTGAAGAAAAGCTTTGGCTGATTTTGGTTGGCAAGATACCACTGGTGTAAGAAAAGCAAACACTAAAGGCTACTGGTACTTGGATGCTTATCTCATCAGTCGTATTTTCTCGTTCTCAATTTAACCGCAAATGGCATTATAGCTACCACGCTCTTAAAATCCCATCTTTTTCAACAACTCACATTTTTGTCACTGCTTTGAGGAGCTTTTACCATTATTCACTCTCAACAAGAGTATCATACTCCTCAATATTTTCTTATCTATTATATGACTAGCCACAAACAAGGTATTAGAGTTCAGTGTAGAAGCCATTTTGGCTAATCAAACTTTCTCATATATGTTATGCATTTACTGCCTGTGTGCCCCTTCTGTTAGTAATGGAACCATCATAACTGATGAAGTTATGAGGTGTTATTTTTCACTAAATTGCAGTCTTCAAAGTAGCTACCCAGTAGATTTAACAAGAATATGGTGTACACAGGAAATACGTTATTTCAGTATTGGGCATGTGTAAGAACCCCTTAGAGATTTTAAGACCTGGATTAAAGGCTGAGAAGTAAACCCTTGGTAAACTGGACATAAAGGTAGGTAAAGTCATTCTCTTTAAGAGGACCCTTTGGAGTAGAATTGAGTGTGTAGTGATATAATTACAACAAAAATATTTTGTGTTTCTGACATTACTGTTATTAATAATAACTGATTCCTTCAAATTTTTATGGATTGTTTTACATTATTAATTATTATTATAGTTATTAGATAGATGGAGATCTAGCACACAGGAATTCTTTTTATTTCTTCTCTAGCAGCTCATTCCTCTCCTAATTTATTTTAATAATTAACCTAAAACTTCTCTTTAATACACATTCACATAAAAATAGACTGGAGGTTTAAAAAATAGGTAAATACAGTTTCCCAAACATTGTTATATTTTTGCATTAACAGTGAAACCAATGTTTCCAGATGTTCTGGTCTCCATTGGATAGAACAGAGGTTCATAACATGGGGATCCAGGGTGCACTTCAGAGGGTCCATGATTTCCTGGAAAGTATACACAAAGTTGTGTATGTGTGTATATGTGTGTGTGTTTGCAGTTTTCTCAACAGTAAGTCTACACATTTCATCAAATGTCCAAGGAGATACATGATGGGAACAAAAGGTAAAGAAGTATTGATGTATAAACAGTTCAGAGACGCAGGCTTAAAATATGCTTTCATTTCCATTTGGTTATTTACAACATATGCAGTTCAAGCATTAGGAACATGAGCTATAGAGTCAGAAAGACCTAGGCCAAGGCCCCACTTCACCACGAAGCAATATTGGGAAAGTTATGTAATCTCTCTGAGTCTAAATTTCTTATATTTAATATGCAGACACTAATTGTACCTATGTTGTAAATTGTTTTGAGAGTTAGATGAGATAATATATGTGTAGTCCTATAAACAGTTGTTATGATTAGGGAGGCTTTAAAACATTATAATTGTGAAATTTTCATATGTCTAAACATTTCAAAGTGGAAATATTATCATTAGTTCAAAGACCAATATTAAAACTGCCAAACTTAGCTCCATAGTTCATTGGTATCTTGTTCCCAGGTCTCTCTTACACCTTCCAGAAAATCAGACTTAAATAAAGAATCAGATCTAATATAAGCCATATTCTCTCAACATTTCTATCATAAATGACTTAAAAAGTCAACTTTATATTGTGAGTTTTAAATATAAGTAATGCACATATATGGCTTCAAAAATTCAAAAAATTATATCATTTACTGTTCTATGAATTGTTTCTTCATATACAGTTGATCCTTGACCAACATAGGTTTGAGCTGTGTGGGTCCACTTATATGTGGATTGTTTTCAATAATTATATTCAAAAATGTGTCAGA